TCAAAGGGGGACATACAATAGACTATTAGTCACGGTGCATGGGGAAACCCACCCCATCTAATAATAATAATAATAATAATAATAATAATAATAATAATAATACTCCATATCACAGGCATATCACTTCTGAAGTTTTCTTGGCAGTGAATTTTCAGATTGCGGTCCTCTGGACTATAGCACCATTTAGTCCTGTAGGTAGATACCAATGTTCCAGAGGAATATACTGCCTCCATTTTCAAGGTTGAAGTGTGTAAGTTCAAGGATTGATTCAGTTTCACAGACAGGAAGCAAAGAAAGGGACTCAATATGGGCCACTGAGAAAAATGGGTAGTATAACGTCCTTATAAGGGCGTCACTACTTTGTTGTCATAGATATGAAAAAGAATAGTGAGAATGATTAATACTTTTCCAGGTATTCAATATTGTTTCCATTTTTTCTCGTAATTCCACTTCCACCTCTGACAATTTACAAGCAGTGTTCACTACACATTCTTTCTCTTTGGCCAGGATCAGGGTTCTTTCTCTACCCCTTCTCCTTGGGTCTCATGATCACCTTCCTTGCAACCTGCTGACATAACCAAGTCAATTCCTGAACCCATACACTTCATCTTCAATGACAGAGGCAGAATGTTCTTTCAGAATTTCAGTACCCACTCATAAGACTACATGATGCTAGAATCCAGATGATTATAACTTAATCTAACTATGCTACTTATTCCATATCACAGGTATGTACATAATTACAAATACTTTTTTAAAATGTGGAGTCCAATTGTGACAAAATCTAATTACTGTAAACTTAGCATAAAACTTGACTAGGATATTTAAAAACTTTTATATCCAAATTGTCACCTTCTGAACACAAAAAGTATTAGCATAAAATATAAGGTTTATACCTGATGATGCCAGTCTTCACCACAATTTTATTCTAAAATTATCTACGTTACACATTCAACATTCAACAACATTACATAATTATTCTAAAATGGATGATCTTATAGCCCACACCACAACATAATCAAACCACTCCTGAAACCGGAGACTGACATGACATTAGAGATTCCACTAGTAATGGATACCTGTTTAACCTTTAGTGACAGTGCTTCGCATCATTGCAATGGCACATGTGCACTATCTAGCTGATAAATACTATCATCAGTAATGTAGTGCTAAAATATGGCCACCAGTCCTGTAGAACAAGGAAATTTCAAATGCCCTATTCCCAGAAAGTAAACTGTTACCCCAAAATTAAAATATAATCTCCAACCCTACAGACAAGGAGATTTAAAATCCCTGCTCCTGGCTGAAGGATGTGTGTGTGTGTGTGTACGATGGGAAGTCATAATGTTTTAAGTATTACCATGAGAAAATTATAATTCCAAAATATCGTTCTACATAAGAGATAGCCCATTTCATGAGCCTGCCGAACAGCCAGACTTTCATGTGCCAAGTAGACACAGGGAGCCACCAGAAGGAGCAGAAGCAAAATGGTGACATCAGTTGAAGAAGTGGAGGCTCTTGGTATGATACGGTTCCTGCATTTGCAAGGGAAATCTGCCAGGGAGATCCACGAAAAGATGACCGCTGTGTATCAGGAAGTGTACCATCATATGACACAGTGGTCAGGTGGAATAGGTGCTTTCACTGCGGACAGATGAACGCTGAAGTGGAAGAACATCTCTCGCTGAGGAACCAGGAACTGTGGCACAGGTGGAAGCTTTCATCCTATCTGATAGGTACATAACTATCGAAGCTATTGTTCATGAGGTCCGCATTAGCCATGGGTCGGTTTTTGAACATCATCCATGATAAGTTACACATGAAAGAGGTCACTGTGTGCTGGGTGCCACAATTGTTGACACCAGTTCAAAAGCAGCAACAGATGGATGTGGCAAAGAACCTTTTGCAGTTGTGTCAAGACGAAAAGGTGGAATTTTTCTACCTCCTGATCACGATGGATAAATGTTGGGTCTATCATTATGACCCTGAAACAAAGGAAATGAGCAAGCAGTGTAAAAATGCAGACTCGCCACCACCAAAGAAGGCCAAATCCCAGCCATCATCAGGAAAGGTGATGTTGAGTGTGTTCTGGGATTGGCAGGGTGTCATCATGACCAACTACAGGCAAAAGGGCATCACCATCACTGGTGAGTACTGTTGGAACCTTCTGAGAAGATTACGGGAGGAAATCAAGAAAAAGGGATGAGGAATGCTGTGAAAAGTTGTGTGATTTCTTCATGACAATGCACCAGCTCATGCTGCTCACGCTACGATGACATCTGCTGCTAAATTGGGATATGAAATTCCCCTCATCCACCACATTCACCAGACCTGGCACCAAGTGACTTCTTCCTCTTTCCATGGCTAAAGAAGCCACTTCGTGGTAAGCAATTCCAAGATGATGATGACATCATTTCTGCAGTGGAGGACTTCCTAAACAGTTGAAATGAGACCTTCTATGATCAAAGTATCCAGCAGCTGATGCATCATTGGGGGAAATGTGTGGCCTTCCAGGGGGCATATGTAGAGAAGGGCTAACTCGCATACAATTTCTTGCACCTGTGTCTCTGTTTCTTCTGGGTGATAATTAAAATTTTATGACTTCCCCATGTATATGTGCATGTGGGTGTGTGTGTGTGTGCACATGTGTGTGTATTTGTTTTTGGTATACATGTCAAACATAACAAACAGAAAAGATGCATTCCTTGAACATTACAGACTATCAATGAAGTGGAAGTGCTAATTCCATCATTTCAATATCGTATTTCTACTATCTGCAATCTTTCTTAGTTTAATATTCAAATCCATAACCATCCAGAAAAACATTAAATGGCAGGGGCTTCAGACACAACACTGACCCACACCGACACAACACGTAAAATGCTAGTGTGAGAAATGTGTCTAATAAGTCAGATTAGATTCTGAGGTTCTCACAGCAGTCAACGTTAAGATTACTGTCTTCTGGGACATGATGCTATGCAGTCTGGTAGACAGCTACCAATGTTTCAGAGGAACATGCTGCCTGTAACTTTAGCCTCATTTCTACCATGGAGATGGAAGCAGATGGTTCCTACATACTTGATCAAATGTCATATCCCAGGAGCTCACATATTACAATTAAAAACTTTGTGAAGTACAGCAAACAGATAAAACAATTCAAACTCACATGCATAATTCCAGTTCTCTGTCTGTGAAAGCATGCTCAAATGTTCAACTCTTTTGTTAATGAAGACCCTAAAGTAAAGTTTGTGTTTTAAAATACCTGTTTACTTCTTGTTCAGAACTGTCTGAAACAAATGGATGTTTTCTCATGATTGCTTTTCTATCTTGCTTTAGAACTGAAAAAGCCCTAGAAAAACAGGGGTGACTGGAAGTAAATGGAGCACATTATCTACTGCATGCTAATAATAATTTACTCACTGGAAACATAAATACCACAAAGAAAAAAAAACACAAAAACTGATACATGTCCAAGCATCATCAGCAGAAAACATAACATAGTGACAGTAGCTGCCAATAATTTTTTCAAAATATGACAGATTTTTATGTACTTGGGAATGTCAGTATGAAACAGGAATATATACGTGGTGTGTTCAAAAAGTATCGAACCTTCTTTTTTCCCACGTAAACCAATGAAGCGCGGGAGGCTCCCTTCGGTGGAGATGTGGAGGGGACATTCATGCGCAGTTGTGAATTTTTTCCCACCCACAGAAAGTGTCAGTCGCTGGCAGTCGGCCTATGAGTGAGGACGTGTAGTGAGTGCTCGTCGGATTCCAGTAAGGTGTAAAATGACGGAACAACATGAGCAGCAATATTGCATCAAATTTTGCCAAAAGCTTGGCGATACCCAAGTGGAAACCATTCGCAAGATTCAACGGGCTTTCGGGGACGATGCCATGAGCAACTCACAGATAAAAGAGTGATACAACCACTTCAAAGATGGCCACACATCAGTGGACAGTGAACCGCATTCAGGCAGACCCTCAACAAGCCGAAATGAGAATGTCATTGAGCAAGTGCAGACTTTGGTCATGGAGGACCGTCGTATCACAGTCCGAGAACTTGCAAATGAAATATGGGTAAGCATTGGATTGGTACATACAATTTTGACCAAGGATTTGGGCATGAGGAGAGTGTCCGCGAAATTCATACCGAAACTGCTAACAATGGAGCAGAAGCAACGCCGTCTGGAAATCGCACAGGACGTGCTGGACAATGCAAACAGTAACCCCAACTTTCTGAACACCGTGATCACAGGTGATGAGTCGTGGGTTTATGGGTACAACCCGGAAACCAAGATGCAGTCATCACAGTGGAAACATCCGACATCCCCAAGGCCAAACAAAGCACGGCAGGTCTGAAGCAATGTCAAGGTCATCTTGGCCGTTTTCTTCGACTCCCGTGGGGTTGTGCATCATGAGTACGCACCACAAGGCCAAACCATCACAAAGGAATACAACCAGGAGTTCCTTTGTCACCTTCGTGATGCTGTGCGGCGCAAATGACCGGATCTGTGGGCAGCAAAAACTTGGCAGCTCCATCATGATAATGCACCTGCCCATTCTGCACATCTGATTCACACTTTCGCCGCCAAACACAACATCCCTGTGGTTCGTCAGGCTCCCTACTCCCCCGACGTGGCTCCGTGTGACTTTTGGCTATTTCCCAAGCTGAAAATGCCTCTGAAAGGAACCCGATTTGAGTCAAGAGAAGACATCATGCAGAATGCAACGGGCCAGCTGATCACCATTCCAAAAGACGTGTTCCAGAAGTGTTTCAAAAAATGGCAGAAGCACTGGGAGAAGTGTGTGCATTACCAAGGAGACTACTTTGAAGGGGATTAGGGTTTTGTACCTCCAAATCAATAAATGTATTTCTGCCGAACAAAGGTTCAATACTTTTTGAACACACATATATTTCAAATATGTATAAATGTCACATGTTGAAGCAATGGTCACTTCTACTATGAAAACAAGACTAAAAAAAAAGGAGAACCATACCTTTTCTTGGAGTCACAGTCATCATACTGTACAGGATGCATGGAAGAAATCTTTCTGGACAAAATTCCACCTCCAGAAGACGATACTGAAGGGATGGAGTGGAAACCCGAAGGCACAGGCATAAATGTATGCAGTGGTGCTATCTGTTGTTGTTGCAAGATAGAGAGGCACTGAGTCAGGCAGTATATTGTTGCCTGAGCAGTAGCCTTTAGGAGTAACATAGCTTCATCAATATTCCGGATACATGGACCTGAGAAAACACACAAATTATGATGTATTACATTAAAGCAGTCACAGGTCACAGGTACTTGTATTCTTACAGCATGAAGGTTACTTGAAAGTATGTTAATATTTTTTTCACAAAACAACTGGAAAAATGAAAAATTGGCATGTGAGAGCATGACTTTCTCAGTCTGAGACAAGACTAAAACATGAATTTTGAAAAATTTTGAGAAATGTGTCAATAAGAATTTTCTCCACTAGGTCAATTCTTAACTTTCTCATGTACACAGTATATGTGAGAAGGTGCTGGGATTGTGAAAGAAATCAATCTCGAAATTTTGACTGATTTATGCATTTTCAGCACCTCTCATTATAAAAGAGCAATTTTTGCAATGTTGTCTGCATGTTCCTACGATGTGGACCTCATTAGCATCTGAACAGATGGATCTGATTCATATTCAGCATCCTGGGGTTTTCCCATCCCAGGTCACTACTCTGTGGCTCTGAACATTCCAATTCCAAATAGAGGGACCATGTAAATGCACCCCAAAACCTAAACACATTGGACCATTTATAACTTCTGTCCTCTTCTCTGGATAACAGAGGACTGTGTACTAAACACAGTAACAAGTTCAACTATCTGTTAATTCACCAAAACCTTGAATCCAATGAATACGAACACTCGACTTTCACAGACCATACCAAGACTCCCTGGCTACATATGCCCATAAACATGCATTTGCTTTGTTAATTTCCTTTACAAAATTTACAAGCTACCTGAATAGTGGTCTTCATTTTTGAGTGCTGTTAAAAAATAAGTTAGATTTAGCAGGAGTACAGGAGGTCAGATGGGACCAAGGTGGCATTGAACCAGGAGGCAAATATAATTTTTTCTATGGAAAGCGGGATGAAAATCATGAATTAGGTACAGGTTCTTTTGGAAATAAGAGGATTGTATCAGCAGTTAAGAGTGTACACTTATTTAGTGATAGGCTATCATATATAATATTAAAAGGTCGTTGGTGTGATATCATTGTTATAATGTTCACACCCCAACAGAAGATAAAATTGATGGCATAAAGGATAGGATCTATGAAGAGCTAGAACATGTAAGTAAAAGTAAAGCTATCCCTGTAACAGGCCGTGAAGGCCCATAGGGTTGTGAGACGTTAAGGGTCCCACATTACCTTGACAATCGGCTCAGAGATGGCAGTAAGGTTGTCAGCCTTACACGCCGGCCACGCATCACTCCCCAGGAAAATCATTTAATTAATTCCTGGTACTCATTTCTGTTAGAGGCTGAGTAAACCCCAGGGCCTAGTGCGGCTGGAAGGATTAAGTAAATTGAAAAAAATCCAATGACCTCATTGGGAATTGAACCCGTGACCTTCCAACATGTACTTGACAAATTCCCGAAGTACACTATGAAAATTTTGTTAGGACATTTTAATGCCAAAGTAGGGAGGGAAGAC